CTTACTGAAAAACTCATCATTGCATTTGGACAATCTGTCCTCCAAAGTAAATCCAGTTCCAAAAGGGCAAAATAGCTCCTAACTCTGCTCTTTCTCAAGAGCTGATAAATAAAAATTAGCTACTTCCTTCACTCATTTCCTCAACACTGAAAGATAATCTGTATTATTCTCTGACTGCTTTTATTCAATTTAAGAAATTATTTTGCCTTCCCTTATTCCCCCAACTGCATATTCCCTTAACTTTGTACTCTTTACAACCAGGCAAATGTGAATTTAGAATCCAGGTGCCTGTGTCAGAGCTGTGTTTGATCCCAGCAACCAGCAGACCTCTAAACAGGTCCAAAAATGACATGAACTTTTGAAGGCACATCAGGTGAAGCCTTCTCATTGAGAGGCTAAAGAAACAATCTCCAAGTGTTTCTAACCACACACTTGCAAACTGATTTCATGTCTGTATCAGAAGGGAAAAGAGCCCAATATCAAATGTTTGCAAATCGCTTTCAGATCTGACAGTTCCCCCAGGCTCAAACACTGAACTGAGGGATTTTGAAGTCCATCTTTAATCAAGGTGACAATTTCCTAAAAGCGTAAGTCATTTTATTTCCTCAGCAAGAATAACGGGAAAGAAAACTCTTTCCTATCAAGCTGGAAAGAGGGAAGATAATGAGAACAGAACCTACAATAGCAGCAAAACCAGTCCCAGTAGAAACCACAAGCCCTGCAGCAAAACATTGGGAACCTTCTCCACTAAGTTTCTCCCACAGAATCTCACCTTCCTTACTTTGATCTATCTCTAAACTTTGGATTTATGCTGCCCTAAGGTTGCCTGGGCTTCCCAGCAATGAGGCTAGACCTTACCATGGATATCCTCTGACTACTTACTATTTTATAGGTCACCTGTATTAGAAAAACATTCCTCCCTGTGAGGGTGGGGAGGCCCTGGTACAGCTCGTTCAGAGCAGCTGTGGCTGTCCCATCCCTGTGGGAATTCAGGGCCAGGTTGGACAGGGCTTGGAACAACCTGGGACAGTGTAAGGTGTCCCTGCCCATGGCAGGGAATGGGATGAGGTGATGTTTAAAGGCCCTTCCAACACAAATCTCTCTATGATTCTATGATTTTTTGCACACAAATTTACTGCCCTCGTCTCATCACCAGAAGCATACTTAAACACAGCACTCACAAATCTAAAACCCTTCATGCCTACACGCTATGGTAGGCAAAAATGGTGCTGCACTTTCTGAACACAGCTTATAATCTGTCCCTCCATGCTTCATGGAAGGCATTTGGGCAGTTATTAATTCTGCCTTTCGACATCATTGCAGACCCACAGATCACAGATACTCCAGAGATGGGTAGTTAACGGGGCACCAGGAAAAAAGCCTAGGCATATGGTTAAACAAATCAGTCATCAGTTCACTGGGACATCTTTCATTCCCATCATAGCAATCTGTTGGATCCCAGAACTGTTTTTACGTGGTTCATTAGACAATAGCCTTTCTTGCTACTAGTTAGGTCAAGAGTCAAAATTGCTGTGTAATTGCAAGTCTCAGGGCACAAGGCAAGAGTTTTTCAGTCCTGGAGGGTGTTGTCCAAAGGGGAAAGAAAACAGAAGGGAAAGATTATGTGTGAGCAATTGAGCCCTACTGAGAGGGAAAAAAAAGTCACTGAAACTGGGATTAGGCAAATCTGGTAATGGAAAACAAGAGTCCTGTTGGTAAATTGGCACTTGCACCTAAGAGATGTGTGTGGTGAGGAAAAGGAGCTCAAAGGATGGGTCAAAAAAGAGCAGAAGAGGAGATTAAGTATCATCTGAAGTAAAAAAAATTATGTTTGGACCTTTTTGAACATTTAATTCTTTGAGTTAATTAAGCACATGGCAATAGCAGTTGTTAAACAAGAACAGTTCCCAACTTAATCAAACTACATTACTGAAAAAAATAGAGAGCAACCTCAGTAGAGAAACCAGTATATATCAAATCAAGCTAAATAGCTCAGTTATGATCATTATTAATAATAAATCATGGCCACTGTTTTTTTGTTTGCCAACAACCAGCATAGTTTATGGCTCTGCACAAACCTAACACACCATTTTATAGCATTTCAAAAAGTGCGTCCTCCTAAAATGATAATGTGTTAATAATCTATGCTGGGCTTTTTGGCAGGAATCAAAAAGCTCAAACGACTTGAAATAACATCAGCTAAAAATTATTTATTCCCCATCCCTAGTTGCAGAGAAAACAGAGGTTTTCTTGGCTCAGTTACTTCTCAATAGACTTCTGGTTTCAATTAAAACTTTGAGTCTGAGAAGTTTAAAAAAAAAAAAAAAAAGTTGAAGCCAATAAGAGATGGAAGAGAAGTCTCCATTCACTGAGTGTTTCTGCTTTTGTTTTTTTCCCTATTTTTACATAACCCTTCTGAGCTGAGAGCACAGATTAAAGTACAAGTCCATTGTGTGGACTTTTTTTTTTTTCTCCTTTCAGCTAAAAAACAAATGGAGATTAAAAAAAGTTTCTTCTTAGAGTGGAAGGGGTTTATGATGAGGGGTGTAATCTCAGCACAGGCTGAGGGAAGTGCAGAAAGCTGTGCATGAAACAGACACTTGCACATTTTCTCATGAACGTGTCCAGTCCCTGGAAGTGTTCAAGACCAGGCTGGATGGTGCTTGGAACAACCTGGTCTAGAGGAAAGTGTCCCTGCCTGGAGGGAAAATGGGGCTGGAATGAGATGAGCTTTAACATCTCTTCCTACCAAAACATTATATGATTCTGTGATTCCCTGATGGGAATATATTTTTGCTGTCCACAATAAAGGGTCCACTTGTTTCCTCAGGTTCATGCTGTCACTACCTGTCTCTAGACGCCTGATAATACCATTTCTGTAGCCTGTACCAAGTGAATCCTGCAGGCAGGGGCTTTCAAATCAGTAATCGTTCCCATTTGGGCCCATAATATTCCACACAGGACTGGATTTGCCAGCAGCCCTTTCCTCCTGGAGCAATTCCATCCTTACCAGGAGGCTCGGATGCTCTCCCTGGCAGCGGAGCACTGACCGGCTCTGCACTCTCCTCTCCCTGCTCCTCTGCATCCTTCCCCGTGTGACACACGGGTATAGGACACACGGAGGGTCCCCCCCACCCCAGAGCGGGCCGGTGGTTAATGAAACACCTCTGCATACCGGGGGAACAGCCTTCCAGGCTCCCCTGCCCTCCTCCCTTCATCCTCCCACTCCTCCCAGAGCCCGGCTGGGTTAGCCCTGCTCGCGGCAGCCGCGGGGACACCGCCACCCCACGGTACCGGAATGGGTGGGTACTCCCCTCGCATCCCCCGTGCGCATCCCCCAGGCACGAAGCCCCTCTCACCACCCCTCCCGAGGCCAGGGGAACCTGCCCACCGAGGGTGCCCGGGTCGGGTGTGCCCTGTCTCCCCACCGCCTCCCCGGGTTGGGATCCCGGCGGCCAAGTGCCCTTTGAGCATCAGGCGTCAGGCCCGGGATTATCGGGGCCGTTTATTTGAAGCGGAAACGAATCGGAAATCCTTCTCTCAACTGCCTTTTGGAGACATAAATACAGCAGAGGCAGGGGCAGCGCGGGGAGCGCCGTGCCCGGTGGGGCGGTGGGATGTTGGGATGCAAACACACGGACACGCTCAGGCTGACACGCACACTCACTCACACCGACACTCACACCCGGGGCAGCAAAGGGGTGCGGGGGACCCGCAGGAGGAGCCCGGCGAGGAAGGGGTGTGAGTGCGAGTGTGAGTGTGAGTGCGAGTGCCCGGCGCTGGGCAGGAGCCTTGCGCCGGGGCTGGGGTTGACAATAGCCACCCGCGGCTGCGGGCTGTGTGTTACCCCTTTTCCCCCAAAACCAGCCCCCAGCCCGCTGATATCGGCGGCATTCAGCCTGCCCATAGCTCAACTCCGCTTCCACCCCTTGTGGGGGCACAAGGGGCCACCAAGGTCCCGGGGGCGGCAATCACCGGCTTATTTAAGAACCATTATCCAGCCACAGAGCGCGGTGGGGGTGGTGACGGAGGGGGTGTCCCGCTTTGCTAATTACTACCCCCACACCACCATCCTCTCCCCACCTCCCCCCGTCCTCCCACTCCGTTGTTCCCCCAAAATCGCAGCTTTTCGGGGCTGCGTGTCCTTTTCAATGTCAAAACACGGCGGGGCCACCCCGGGGCAGCGGCGCTCCCCGGTTCACCCGCGGAGCCCCGCGCACACACAGGCTCACACTCACACTCACACACACACAAATCCCCATAAGGTTACAGGGCTGCTCTCTAGCTCCACTTAACCTGCAATTTACGAAGCGGGGGGGGTCGTGTGTCCCCCCCCCCCCCCCCACTAAAAAAAAAAAAAAATTTCTACAGGCACACACATAGCTGCCACCTACACATATAAACACATATAGGCTACCAAAGCGGGGGCCAGGAGAGGGGGTATAAGGCGGGGAGTGGGAGGGGGGGGGAAATAAATACATTATTCAAACTCCTAAAAAAAAAAAAAATTCCTACCCCTTCCCAGTAGCACGGTCTTACACACACCACCAGTACCCCCCCACCCCACGAGAACCACACACAGACACTCACACATGCCCCTAAACAGGCACAAAGCATGGGGAGGGAAGGGGTCGGAGGGGATGGGGAGGAGGATTCGCATGCAATGCATGGAGGAGAAATATTCCCCCCTCCCAAAAAATAAATAAAGCCCTTTTCCGCGCCATTGCAAAGTCACAACAGTGAGGGGAAAAAAAAAATTAAAAAGGGACTATATTAACTTTTACATGCAGAAGGGGGAAAAAAATAAAAAAGATTTAAAAATAAAAAAAAAAAAAATAAAAAAAAAAAGAAGGGGGGGAAGGAAAAGGAGAGAGGCGTACGATCCTCCTGCAATCCCGATCATCAAGGCAAACCTTTCCTCGATGCCTCAGAATTTTTGTTCCCTTTTTTTTTTTTTTTTTTTTTTTTTTTTTTTTTTTTTTTTTCCCGCATTTACTAACCCATATCCCCAAAACGGCAGCGGGGGCTTCTTAGTAGCTTCCTCTTCTTCTTCTTCTTTCTTCCTTCCTCCTCCTCCTCCTCCTCCTCTTCGGATTTCCCCCCTTCTTGTCTCTTCTCTTTTAGATCCCGGTTTCAATCCCTCGCCACAGCCCCCAAAGGTGCTTTTGCTTGTGTTGCGGCAAACCCATGGCGGTGTTCATCTGTCAGATGGGGATGAGGGGAGCGCCCGGCCGCGCAGCGCACGCAGAGCGCAGAGGGAGGAGGGCGGGGGGAGGAGGAAGGCACCGGGGAGAGCGAGATGGACGGACAGACAGACGGAGAGATAGCTCGAGAGATGAAAGACAGATAGGAGAGGGATAAATAGAGCGAGATAGAGCGAGAAAGGGGGGAAAATGGCGTCTTGGAAAGCCGGAATCCCGGAGTAAATCAAATTAACACGCAACACCCAGAGCAGTCCCGGCTAATTTTAGCAGGATCCAAAATAAAATGAAAAGGAAAAAAGGGGGGTGAGTAGGAGGAGGAGGGGGGGATAGGGAGGCGGGGGGTTAAAGAAAGGAGGAGGGGGTAAGAAGGGAAAAAAAAAGAGAGACCGAAAAAAAAAAAAAGAAAGCCCCTCAATGCACTGGATAAAATCCTGGATTTGAAATCGATGGAGCTGGTCTCCAGCTCTCTCGCTTTTTCTTTTCTTTTTCTTCTTTTAATTTTTTTCTTTTTCTTTTTTTTTCTTTTTTTGGAGGGGGGTTCTCTTTTGCTCTCTGCTTGTTGTTGTTAGTTGGTTGGGAGCCTTTTGCAGGGGGGCGAGGTTGCTGGGAAGCGTTTTCGGTTTTGCTTTTCCCGGCGAG